TTTCAAACCTGCCAAAACATTTGCAGAATATAAATGCACCTGAATGACATTGCTTTTTAAACGTGTTGGGTGGCGAATCGCAAAAGCATACTTTTTGTTTCCATTGAACAGAGTGACAGAGTTGGAAAGGACCTTGGAGGTCATCTAGTCCAACCCCCTGCTCAAGTAGGAAACCCTATAGGCCCATGATGGTGAATCTATGGCATGCACAGGTGGTGCGCAGAGGCCTAGTAGGCCCAAAACAGGGCACAGGGCATCATGCGCGCATATGTGGAGGGGGGAGAGGGAGTGTGGGAGATTGCACATGCATGTGTACGGGGTGGGGGCATGTGGGGGCATGCACATATTTGCATGTGTGCAGGTGGCCACTGTTTCATGCGCGCGCAAGCATTTTTGGCACATGATGACAAAAAAGGTTAGCCATCCCTGCTGTAGGCCATCAACAGAAGAATCAGCTAAGGGTTGAAAATCCCAAAAGGAAAGATGTTTTTTTGAAGAACAGGATCCGTACCCAGGTGGAGACAGGAAGGGGATTTAGAATGAGCAACATCTGTAGAAATCGATGTTCCAGAGAGCTGTTTGGAAGGGAGGAGAAATGCCAAGGTCTCAACATAACTGTTTTTGTGAACCAGTGATGTTCTCCCTTTTTCTAGCATCGTTGCTCTATCCTTATGGGAAAACCCAAGGTGACTCAGAAAACCCAATAGCTGATGATGGGAATTCTCCAGAGATCTCCATCCAAAAGCCATTCTCCTTCTACGGCAAGAAATACAACTCCCTTTTCGTATGTAATACCTGCCAGATGTAAACCTCTTTTTTCTTTACAGAAGCTAAGAAACGGGCTATTCAACTCGGCTTGTCCACCCACCCCCTGACTCTCAATATGGCCTTAATGTGTAATTCCTGCAGGCCTCTCTGGAGAGGGAAGAGAGGGAGCATTTGCAGAGTTAGTTGGGAATGACCAAACTCCCCATGGCTTTCATTTCTAAAATAGCTTCCTGGGGAGATAAGAGGCCGAACTAATACTTTCCCACTAATACCCTGTTTCCTTGAAAATAAGACCTCCCTGGATAATAAGCCCAATCGCTAAAATAAGCTAAATTAAGCTCTTCCTTGCAAATAAGTCCTCCCTGAAAATATTGCAACACAGCAGCAGCCATGAGGTGACCACGCTCACCGTCTCCTGCACCTCAAAAATAATAAGACCTCCCTGACAATAAGACCAAGCGCTTTATTTCGGGGGTCAAAAGAAAATAAGAACCTGTCTTATTTTTGGGGAAACACGATATGCCTTTATGAGAATGAATGGATGGGATATGAGCAGTCTATAGACTCCAGTGGTGGGATTCAAATTTTTTTACTACCGGTTCTGTGAGCGTGGCAGGGAAAGGTTACTGTAAAATCCCCATTTCCTCCCGATCAGCTGGGACTCAGGAGGCAGAGAATAGATGGGGGGCAGGGCCAGCCAGAGGTGGTATTTATCAGTTCTCTGAACTACTCAAAATGTCCACTACCGGTTCTCCAGAACTGGTCTGAACCTGCTGAATACCACCTCTGCTACAATCACCATTCAGAAACCCAATCATGAGCACAGTAGAAATCAGTGTGAGAAAGTTATGGGGCTCCCAGTGTTGGCCTCCACGTCCCAATAGGTCCAACCGAAAGTGACAATGTTGGGAAATACAATTTTACAGCATCTTGAAGCCCATGGGTTCCTCGTCTCTGATATTAACTTATACTAGTTTCACGATTTCTCTGTTGTCCTCGTTTGCTAAAAATCTAGTTAACTTTGGTGCGTGTGTGTAGAGAGAGAGAGAGAGAGAGAGTTGTGTGGATAGATGGATGATGATAGATGATAGATCGATAGATCGATAGATCGATAGATCGATAGATCGATAGATCGATAGATCGATAGATCGATAGATAGAT